GGGCCTATTTTTTCCACAGTCCCCAGCACTCCCTCTTTTTTTATTTTTTTATTTTTGAGATGGAGTCTTGCTCTGTCGCCCAGGCTGGGGTGCAGTGGCCGGATCTCAGCTCACTGCAAGCTCCGCCTCCCGGGTTTACGGCATTCTCCTGCCTCAGCCTCCCGAGTAGCTGGGACTACAGGTGCCCGCCACCTCGCCCGGCTAGTTTTTTGTATTTTTTAGTAGAGATTGGGTTTCACCATGTTAGCCAGGATGGTCTCGATCTCCTGACCTCGTGATCAACCCATCTCGGTCTCCCAAAGTGCTGGGATTACAGGCTTGAGCCACCGCGCCCGGCCCCCAGCACTCCCTCTTACCAGGCCAGCTTCACTCATGTGACTTTCTTGGCCTCATTAGGCCTTTGAGTTTGAGATTTTTGTCTGTCCCAAACACCTAATATATAAAGTGGTTATGCTCATGCCTGTAATCCCAGCACTTTAGGAGGACGAGGCAGGTAGATGACTTGAACCCAAGAGTTTGAGACCAGCCTGGGCAACATAGCGAAACCCTGTCTCTACACAAAATTCAAAAATTAGTTGGGCGTGGAGGCACGCGCCTGTAATCCTAGCTACTCGGGAGACTGAGGCGGGAGGATTGCTTGAGCCTGGGAAGTAGAGGGTGCGGTGAGCCTTGATTGTGCTACTGGGCTCCAGCCTAAGTGAGAGACCCTGTCTCAAAAAAGAACAGTTTAAACCAATTTTTAAATTAGTTTTATAAAATAATGTAGTCTGGCTGAAGTGAAATGTGGGTGGAGCATCGGCAGGCCTGATATTTCTCTTTCTCCTTTTTTTTTTTTTTTTTTTTTTTTTTTTTTTTTTTTTTTTTGAGACGGAGTCTTTCGCTCAGTCACCCAGGCTGGAGTGCAGTGGCCAGATCTCAGCTCACTGCAAGCTCCGCCTCCTGGGTTCATGCCATTCTCCTGCCTCAGCCTCCGAAGTAGCTGGGACTACAGGCGCCCGCCACCTCGCCCGGCTAATTTTTTGCATTTTTAGTAGAGACGGGGTTTCACCGTGTTAGCCAGGATGGTCTCGATCTCCTGACCTCGTGATCCGCCCGCCTCAGCCTCCCAAAGTGCTGGGATTACAGGCGTGAGCCACCATGCCCGGCCTCTCTTTCTCCTATCATTGTTGTCCCAGGTGCTTCACAGAACCCCAAGACTCTGGAGAAACACAATTTGGAAAGTGTGGCCTTGAGTTCTTGTCCTGTGTGGACTGGGACACAGTGAACGGCAGCTTCATAGTCTGGATGGGGAAGGGGACCCTCCTTTTCCCTCCAGCAGCATCTGGAGTCCTGTGTCACATGCTCCGGGATCCACACTTCTTTTTTTGTTTGTTTGTTTTGTTTTGAGATGAAGTCTCATTCTGTCACCCAGGCTGGAGTGCAGTGGCGAAATCTTGGCTCACTGCAACCTCCGTCTTCCGGGTTCAAAGGATCCTCCTGCCTCAGCCTCCCAAGTAGCTGGGATTACAGGTGCACATTACCACGCCTGGCTAATTTTTTTATTTTTTGGTACAGATGGAGGTTTCACCATGTTGGCCAGGCTAGTGTTGAACTCCTGGCCTCATGTGATCCACCCGCTTCAGCTTCCCAAAGTGTTGGGACTACAGGTATGAGCCACCACGCCTGGCCTAATCCACACTTCCGAAGGGTATCAAGTAGGATGGGGGAGGGACCTCTGTGAATCTTCGCTGCTCCCCAGAGAAGTCCTGGACATTTTTTTTTTGAGACCAAGTCTCACTCTGTTGCCCAAGCTGGAGTACAGTGGCACGATTTCAGCTCACTGCAACCTCTGCCTCCTGGATTCAAGGGATTCTCCTGCCTCAGCCTCCCAAGTAGCTGGGACTACAGGCATGACCCACCACGCCCGGCTAATTTTTGTATTTTTAGCAGAGATGGGCTTTCACCACGCTGGCCAGGCTGGTTTCCAATTCCTGACCTCAGGTGATCCACCTGCCTCAGCCTCCCAAAGTGCTAGGATTACAGGCGTGAGCCACCATGCCCGGCTGTTGAAGGGATGGCCTGCCCCTCCACACCTGTGGGTGTTTCTCATTAGGTGGAACGAGAGACTTGAGAAAAGAAATAAGACACAGAGACAAAGTATAGAGAAAGAAAAGCGGGGCCCAGGGGACCGGCGCTCAGCTTACAGAGGACCCACGCCGGCACCGGTCTCTGAGTTCCCTTAGTATTTATAGATAATTATCTTTACCATCTTAAAGATAAGGGAGTGGCAGGACAATAGGATCGTTTTTAGGGAGGAAATCAGCAGTAAGACATGAGAACAAGGATCTCTGTGACATGAATAAGTAAAGGAAAATCCTGTGCCTTGAGATAAACCTTTGAGCAGCATTGTTTCATCCTATCACACGGGGATAAACCTTGGACAATACCTAGCTTTTCTAGGAACAAAGACACACCCTGCACGCCCAAAATCCATTAAACCTTGAGTTACCACAGCACAGGTCTCTTGCAAGGACAAGGTTGGGGGTAGGGTCACAGATTAATAGCATCTCAAATACAGAACAAAATGGAGTCTCTTATGTCTACTTCTTTCTATATAGACACAGTAACAGGCTGATCTCTTTCTTTTCCCCACAGCCGTCCTGGACATCTTTTACGTATTCCCCTAAGACAGCCACCTCCCTACTTCTGCAGGGATGTGAGATCCAGCTAGAATCATTTCTGAGCTAGGATCCTGTTGTCCTGGGTTCTTGTTGCCAAACTGTCCTGGACTCAAGACTCATCAGCCTGGCTTGTCAAATGCAGGTTTCGAAGCCCTTGGATTCTGATTTAAGTAGCTCTGGGTGTGTCTTTGGAATCTATTTCTAACAAAGCACCCGAGGTGCTCTCACACCCAGGCAACTTAGACAAACACTCCTAGCTAGGAGCACAGTCTCTTTAACTTCATTTTTTTAACATTTTGAATACATAATACATTCACATGCTTCCAAACACAACAGAGAAAAGTTGTTCTTCAGCTCCTGTTCCCAAGTCCCCAGTTCTCCCTGGAGACAACCATCTTTGCCAGTTTTTTGTGTTCAAATCTAGGGACATTTTATACATAAACAAGCACACCCTCTTCCCACTCTGTTGCCCAGGCTGGAGTGCAGCAGTGTGATCTCGGCTCGGCGTGATCTTGGCTCACCACTACCTCCGCCTCCTGGGTTCAAGTGATTCTCCTGCCTCAGCCTCCCTTGTAGCTGGGATTATAGGCGTATGCCACCACGCCCAGCTAAATTTTGTATTTTTAGTGGAGACAGGGTTTCACCATGTTTTTCAGGCTGGTCTCGAACTCCGGACCTCTTGATCCACCTGCCTCAGCCTCCCAAAGTGCTAGGATTACAGGCATGAGCCACCATGCCCGTTCCTCACCTTTTTTTTTTTTTAAATGGAAACCCTTTATATACACTCTCCTGCATATTTAGAGCAGCTAGACCTAAGTTTAAGCACAGTACTAGCTTGATGACTTGTGATCCTCCCTGAACCTCAGTTTCCTCCTCTAAAATGGCAGGAATAGCAAGACACCTCACTGTTGTCGGGGAGTCCCAGGAGAGAATGCTTGCCGCGAAGCTGTCAGCACAGGGCCTGGAATAGAGTGAGTGCTCCGTATCTGGAAGTTATGATTAGTTGTGCATTCTAGGGTGGCCAGGCAGGGCTTCCCAGTGCCAGAGGTACAGACTGAGAACCACACCCTTGGTGAGGCCACCCACTTATGACTTAGGGGGCAGAGAGAACCTCAGTAAGGTCAGTGGTGTTTATTGAGGCTTTACTATGTGCTATGTGCCTCTTGCTGAGTTCTTAGCTAGAATCGTGGTATTTCAGGGTTTTTCAACTTTTTTTTTTTTTTTTGATATGGTGTGTCTCACTGTGTCACCCAGGCTGGAGTGCAATGGCGCGATCTCAGTTCACTGCAACCTTTGCCTCCCAGGTTCAAGCGATTCTCCTCCCTCAGCCTCCCAAGTAGTTGGGGTTACGGGTGCTGATTTTTTTTTTTTTTTTTTTTGGTAGCATGGTGACATTGCACCATGCTTAACAACATCCCTGGTCTTTACTCACTCAATGCCAGTAACCTTCTTCCTGCCTGTTGTGACATCAAAAATGTCATACATTGCCAAATGTCCCCAAGAAAGAGTGGGGCTGAGGGGGGACAAAATCCTACCCACAGTTAAAAACCACAGCCTTATCTCATCCTCACAGTAACTAACTACAGTAACCCCAGGTGGCAAGTACTGTTAATGCCCCATATTGCAAGTGAGGAGACCTACAGAACAGTCTGGGTGACATCCCCAAGAAAACACAGCTCCGAGATTCACACCCAGGCAGTGTGACTCCAGAGCTCACCTGCCCATTATGCAAGAGAACATCTGATCTCTCAAGAATGTTGCCCTGTTTGGTCGGGAGCGGTGGCTCACACCTGTAATCCCAGCATTTTGGGAGGCCAAGGCGGGCAGATCACAAGGTCAGGAGATCGAGACCATCCTGGTCAACATGGTGAAACCCTGTCTCTATTAAAAATACAAAAAATTAGCCGGGCATGGGGGCGGGTGCCTGTAATCCCAGCTACTCAGGAGGCTGAGGCAGGATAATCGCTTGAACCAGGGAGGCGGAGGTTGCAGTGAGCTGAGATTGTGCCACTGCACTCTAACCTGGGTGACAGAGAGACTCCGTCTCAGAAAAAAAAAAAAAAAAATTACCTGGGGAATTTTCTGAAAGCTCAGGCCTCACCCCGGATGAATTAGATGTGAATCTCTGGGCATGGGACCTGGGCTTCCACAACTTTGTAAAGTTTCCATGGGATTTCAAGGTTGAGAGCCCTGTGTTAGGTTGAGAAATGGTCAGGAAATTTTATAATCTCAAATCTTGGCAGCCAGTGTGGCAGGATGCAGACCTTCTCTCTGGGTTATCTGGGTTATCTCACAGGGGACCTGCCATTTCTTTCTCTTTTTGTTTTCCTTTCTTTTATATTTAAAAATTTTTTTTGTAGAGTCAGGGTCTTGCTATGTTGCCTAGGCTGATCTCGAACTCCTGGCCTCAAGCAGTCCTCTTACCTTGGCTTCCCAAAGTGCTGGGATTACAGGAATGAGCCGCTGCACCTGGCCTAAGACCTGCCCTTACTCCCCCAAGCTAAGCCCAGGCAGCCCAGCCAAGGCAGGTCTTCCCTCTTCTAAACCTGAAACCCCTCCTGAGCCCCCTCGAGTGCCCCATCCTTACCCCATAGGCCCAGGCTTATACCACCTGGTTATTCTTTATTCTCATGCACTCCAGGATGAGATCAGAGAATGAAGAGGGTCTTGAGGCCAGCCTGGGAGAGAAGCAGCAGCCTTCCTATTGGCAAGGAACGACCCAGTGCTGGGGGGAGTGAGGGGCCCTCTGAGGGTGCCAGGGGCATGCCGGGAGCCGCTGCTGACTCCTCCAGACAGAGCCGCACTGGTCTGAGCGATCAGGTGACTCAGGCTCGAATTTCTCCTGAAGCGTTTTTTTTTCTCTGCAGGGGAGAGGGGGATAGTGGAGCTGGCATTTGAAAGACTCTGTACCAGTGTCCTCTCCTCAAACCCTCACATCGTGCTCAGGAGGGCTTGGACTGGACAAGACCCCACTGGACAGATGTGCAAATGGAGGCTGAAGGCCAACTGCCTTACTCAAGGGTGTTCAGAAGCCAGACCACCTCCTTTCAACCCCGTGCCCAGCCCAGTTATGTGGCCCAGGGTGCAAACAGAAGGTTTCGAGCAGGACTGGAATGTACTGGTCTTCAGTGAAATGTTTTTTTTGTTTGTTGTTTGTTTGTTTGAGACAGAGTCTTGCCCAGACTGGAGTGCAGTGGCACAATCTCAGCTCACTGCAACCTCCACCTCCCGGGTTCAAGCAATTCTCTGCCTCAGCCTCCTGCGTAGCTGGGATTACAGGTGCCTGCCCCCACGCCCAGCTAATTTTTGCATTTTTAATACAGATGGGGTTTCACCATCTTGGCCAAGCTAGTCTTGAACTCCTGACCTCGTGATCCACCCACCTCGGCCTTCCAAAGTGCTGGGATTACAGGCGTGAGTCACCATGCCCAGCGAGTTTTGTTTTTTTGAGACGGAGTCCCATTCTGTCACCCAGGCTGGAGTGCAGTGGTGTGATCTCAACTCACTGCAAGATGGAGACCTCCCGGGTTCAAGCGATTCCCCTGCCTCAGCCTCTCGAGTAGCTGGGACTACAGGTGCCTGCCACCATGCCTGGCTAATTTTTGTATTTTTAGTAGAGACAGGGTTTCACCATGTTGGCCAGGCTGGTCTTGAATTCCTGACCGCCTGCCTTGGCCTCCCAAAGTACTGAGATCACAGGCAAGAGCCACCATGGCCGGCCGAAAGGGGTTTTGAAAAGGAAGAGTCAAAAAGGACACCTGGACTATAGGAGGCAAGAAGCCTGCCCTCTCTGATCTTGCTCCCCCGCTCCCCTACCCCAAGCCCTTTGGAGACCCCAGGAGATCTGTGCATTGTTCCAGGCCCTGGAGCAGCCTCAGCCACATCAGAACGTGGCAGGCGTGCCCACCTCTTACCTGGCATCAGTCTCCTTCCTCTGTCTTCTTGAACATGGCCAAGGCTTGCGCCAGGACACCATCAGGGTCTAGGATTTTGACCTGGAGGGAAATACCAAGAAGTTGGTTTGGAGAACATGGAGGGCCCAGGCTGCCAGCCTTGACGGGTGCTGCCTGCCCAGTGGGGAGCTGCCAGCCTCATCAGGAGCCACCTCTCTTGCTAGGGATGCCCTGACTGAAAACAAAACCTTATCTGTTCCCTGTCTGGGCTGGGCTGGCCTGGCAGGTCTGGGCTGGGCATGGCTGGGGGTGCTGGCTTCTGTCTCTGTCTGGGTGTGGCTACAGGGCCCTGGTGAGGGCTGCCCACCTCAGGAATGGGGAACTGAGTGGGCTCAGGGGCCTCGTCACGGCCAAAGTCGATCATCGTCCCGCACTTGGCCATATTGTCCACCCAGAAGCCTTCAAACAGCTGGCCGTGGTCCAGATGGAAGAAACGCCCCGGCCCGTTCTTCATGCCTCTCTCCCAGCAGCCCTCGTAGCGGTTCCCGTTCTCTGGGGGGAAAGGACAGGGAGGTGTGGTGCAGGGTACACCAAACTAAACTAGACCCCCAGGGGTCGCTCTTCCAGAGCTCCGTGCAAATCTCAACATATTGGGAGGACAAGATGGGAGGCTCATAAGCCCTGGAGATCAAGACCAGCCTGAGCAATATAGTGAGACCCCATCTCTGCAAAAACAATTTTTTTTTTCTTTGAGACGAAGTCTCGCTGTCCCCCAGGCTGGGGCGCAGTGGCCGGATCTCAGCTCACTGCAGGCTCTGCCTCCCGGGTTTACGCCATTCTCCTGCCTCAGCCTCCCGAGTAGCTGGGACTACAGGCACCCGCCACCTCGCCCGGCTAGTTTGTTTGTTTGTTTGTTTGTTTGTTTGTTTGTTTGTTTATTTATTTATTTATTTATTTATTAGTAGAGACAGGGTTTCACCGTGTTAGCCAGGATGGTCTCGATCTCCTGACCTCGTGATCCGCCCATCTCAGCCTCCCAAAGTGCTGGGATTACAGGCTTGAGCCACCACACCCAGCCTGCAAAAACAATTTTTTAAAAATTAGCTGGGCATGGTGGTGTGCACCTATAGTCCCAGCTACTCGGGAGGCTGACGTGGGAGGATGGCTTAAGTTCAGGAAGTTGAGGCTTCAATGAGCTGAGATTGCCCCACAGTACTCCAGCCTGAGTGACAACCTCTGCCTCCTGAGTTCAAACAATTCTCCTATCTCAGCCTCCCAAGTAGCTGGGATTATAGTTTCGTGCCACCATGCCCGGCTAATTTTTTGTATTTTTGTAGAGATGGGGTTTCTCCATGTTGGCCAGGCTGGTATTGAACTCCTGACCTCAGGCCTGCCTCGGCCTCTCAAAGTGCTGGGATTACAGGCGGGAGACACCGCACCCAGTCTGTTTTTATTTTTAAAATTATTTTGAAATGTTTTTTAAAATTTTTTTCAGATGGAGTTTCGCTCTTGTAGCCCAGGTTGGAATGCAATGGCCCAGTCTCGGCTCACCGCAACCTCTGTCTCCCAGGTTCAGGCGATTCTCCTGCCTCAGCCTCCTGAGTACCTGGGATTACAGGTGCCTACTACCACACCCAGTTAATTTTTGTATTTTTTTTTTTTTTTTTTTTGAGACGGAGTCTTGCTCTGTCGCCCGGGCTGGAGTGCAGTGGCCGGATCTCAGCTCACTGCAAGCTCCGCCTCCCGGGTTTACGCCATTCTCCTGCCTCAGCCTCCCGAGTAGCTGGGACTACAGGCACCCGCCACTTCGCCCGGCTAGTTTTTTGTGTTTTTTTTTAGTAGAGACGGGGTTTCACCGTGTTAGCCAGGATGGTCTCGATCTCCTGACCTCGTGATCCGCCCATCTCGGCCTCCCAAAGTGCTGGGATTACAGGCTTGAGCCACCGCGCCCGGCCAATTTTTGTATTTTTAATATAGATGGGGTTTCTCCATGTTGGTCAGGCTGATCTCAAACTCCTGACTTTATGATCTGCCCGCCTCTGCCTCCCAAAGCGCTGGGATTACAGGCGTGAGCCACTGCGCCCGGCCTTTTTTTAAAAATTGAGATATAAGTTCATATAACATAAGTTGACCATTTTGAAGTGTATAGTTCAGTGGCATTTAGTACATTCACAATGCTGTGCAACAATTACCCTCTATCTACTTTCAAAACGTTTTAGTCACCCCAAAAGGAAACCCCGTGCCCATTAAGCAGCCATTCCCCACACCCGCTAACGTCACCATTCCCATAGTCCTAGGCAACCATTAGTCTATTTTCTGTCTCTATGGAGTTGCATGTTCTAAAAATTTCATATAAATAGAATCATATATATGTGACCTTTAGTGACTGAAGGGAGGGATAGGGTCCTCTTCCTCTCTTGTCCCACATTGGCACAAGGGCCAGTGTGGGACAAGAGTGTGGGGTGTGGCCTGTCTCTGTGGGACCAGATGGGCGTGGCCAGCTCGCTGCCGGGGGCGTGGTCATGTGGGCGGGGCCGACGGGGGCGGGGTACTCACTCAAGCGCAGCATGCCGTCCCCGTTGGGCTTGTCGTTCTCCCACTGTCCCTCGTAGATGTCACCGTTGCTGTAGTACATGCGGCCCCACCCACTGCGCTGGCTGCCACACCACTCACCCTCATAATACTCCTTGGGTCCGAAAAACTGGATCCCATAACCCTGAAACCACCAAGATGCTACTACTCAGGCCCCACCCCCCCTCCACCCCCCTCTTCACCCCCCCCCCGCCGCCAAACCAGGAAAGCCCGCTGTCCTCCCAGGCACCCCCAGAGCCACATGTCCCAGCTTCTTCCTTCTTCCTCAGCCCTACGTCCAAGCGGAGGGTCGTGTCTTAGCGGAGGTTCGTGTCTTCTTCTTTTTTTTTTTTTTTGAGATAGAGCCCCGCTCTGTCACCCAGGCTCGAGTCCAGTGGTGTGATCTCGGCTCACTGTAACCTCCGCCTCCCGGGTTCAAGTGATTTTCCTGCCTCAGTCTCCCGAGCAGCTGGGATTACAGGCACGCACCACCACGTCCTGCTAATTTTTGTATTTTTAGGAGAGACAGGGTTTCATCATGTTGGCCAGGCTGGTCTTGAGCTCCTGACTTCAAGTGATCTGCCCGCCTCAGCCTCCCAAAGTGCTGGGATTACAGGCGTGAGCCACAGTGCCTGCTGATAATGTCTTGAAGGATCTCCCCATGCTCTGTTTCTCTTTGTCCCTCTGCAGTCGCCTCCATGCAGCCGGTCATTAAACTCCCTTCTCACTGACCTACCCTCTCCTCTCTCATCCCCACCCCACCATGCATCATGCAGCCCTTACAGCGCCAGAGGATTCTTTAAATCGCCCATCTAGGCTGGGCGCTGTAGCTCACTGACTCACTTTAGGAGGCCGAGGTGGGTGGATCACTTGAGGTCAGGAGTTTGAGACCAGCCTGGCCACCATGGTGAAACCCCATCTCTACTAAAAATACAAAAAATTAGCTGGGCGTGATGGTGGCACCTGTGATCCCAGTTACTCGGGAGGCTGAGGCAGGAGAATCATCTGAACCTGGGAGATGGAGGTTGCAGTGAGCTGAGATCCTGCCACTGCACTGTACCCTGGGTGATGGAGTGAGACGCTGTCTCAAAAAAAAAAAAAAAAAAAAAAATTTCGCCCATCTGATCATGCTCGCCCCCCTCCAACTCTTCTTTTGACCCAGAAAAATGAACATAAATACCATACTTAGCCTGGCGCGGTAGCTCACGCCTGTAATCCCAGCACTTTGGGAGGCTGAGGCAGGTGGATCACCTGAGGTCAGGAGTTTGAGACCAGCCTGACCAACATGGCAAAACCCTGTCTCTATTAAAAATACAAAAAATTAGCTGAGTGTGGTGGCCGGCGCCTGTAATACTAGCTACTTGGGAGGCTGAGACAGAAGAATTGCTTGAACCCAGGAGTCGGAGGTTGCAGTGAGCCAAGATAGCGCCATTGCACTCCTGCCTGGGCGACAGAGCGAGAGACTGTCTCAAAACAAAAAACAAAAAACAAAAAAACACCACACTTAGTGTCCAACAGCAGGGAAACAAGGTCTGTTTGCAGATCACACCCGAGGAGGTTGGGTTGAGAAGCCACATCTGCTCCTCAAAATCCTGATTTCCCACATATCCCTGAGGGCCCCTGCAACTCTTCTCCTCACTCCTGCCCCAGGGCAGACACACTCTGCTGTTTTACATCTCCTTCCCTTTGCTATTTTTTGCCTCCCATCTTTCTCCCTTTTTTTTTCCTGGTTAACTCCTAGCATCTTTAGTGTCACCTCCTACAGGAAGCCTGCCCTGAATTCTCTCTTTTTGAGACAAGTCTTGCTCTGTTGTCCATGCTGGAGTGTGGTGGCACCACCATAGCTCACTGGAGCCTCAGCCTCCTGAGATCAAGCAATCCTCCTGCCTCAGCCTTTTGAGAATTTGGGACTACAGATGTGCACCACAACATCTAGCTAATTATTATTATTATATAGTTTTATTTATTTATTTTGAGATGGAGTCTTGCTCTGTTGCCCAGACTAAAGTGCAGTGGCACGATCTCGGCTCACTGCAACCTCTGCCTTGCGGGTTCAAGCGATTCTCATGCCTCCATCTCCCCAGCTGGGACTACAGGTGCACACCACTATGCCCAGCTAGTTTTTTTGTATTTTTATTTAGTAGAGACGGGGGTTTCACCATGTTGGCCAGGCTAGTCTTGAACTCCTGACCTCAAGTGATCCACCCCCGTTGGCCTCCCAAATTGCTGGGATTACAGGCGTGAGCCATTGTGCCTAGCCTTCTGCCCTGAATTCTCTAGGCTGGGCTTAATGATCTTCCTCTGGGCACCCTGTGAAAACATCCCTCCTAACACCCTAACACCATATTCTTTTTTTTTTTTTTTTTTTTTTTTGAGACGGAGTCTCGCTCTGTCGCCCAGGCTGGAGTGCAGTGGTGTGATGTCCGCTCACTGCAAGCTCCGCCTCCCGGGTTCACACCATTCTCCTGCCTCAGCCTCCCGAGTAGCTGGGACTACAGGCGCCCGCCACCACGGCCGGCTAATTTTTTGTATTTTTAGTAGAGACAGGGTTTCACCGTGTTAGCCAGGATGGTCTCGATCTCCTGACCTCGTGATCTGCCCTCCTCGGCCTCCTAAAGTGCTGGGATTACAGGCGTGAGCCACCACACCCGGCCCTAACACCGTATTCTATGTAAACTGGTTATTTGGGGCTTTCTCTTCCTACTTTGCCAATAAACAATTTGGGAGCAGAGAATATGAAACCCTGGGCTCTACCACTTGCTAGCTGTGTGACTCCAGGCAAGACTGAAACTGCCTTTGCAAAATTACGACTGAGACAGTGAAAGAGATTTAACTTAACTGACTCCATCTTGCTTCTAACCTCTAAGCTGTCCGTGTCCATTCCTGAGCTTAAGCTGAACTAACTTTGGGAGAAACTTAGTTTATAGTTTATAGTTTAAACAAAGACAGTAACAGCCCTTTCCCAAAGACCTCCTTCTTGCCTGGGGACTACATTGCCTTTGTAGGATTAACATTAGCTACAAGATTATAAATTATGGTTTAGGAGTCATGCAGCTGGAAACTACAAGATTCTGACCCTCCCTAAACTGCTGCTAAGATCAGTGCTGAAGATATTTTGCAGAACTTGCACTTGATGGATCAGCTGGCACCACCCAGATCAATAAACTGACTTATGTGATCTTGTGGCCCCTACCCAAAAACTCAGGGCAAAAAGATAGTTTTGACTCCCTGTGATTTCATCTCTGACCAATCAGCACGCCGGACTCACTGTCTTTCCCCCACCCACCAAGTTATCCTTTTTTTTTTTTTTTTGAGATGGAGTCTCGCTCTGTCGCCCAGGCTGGATCCTGGCTCACTGCAAGTTCCACCTCCCGGGTTCACACCATTCTCCTGCCTCAGCCTCCTGAGTAGCTGGGACTACAGGTGCCCGCCACCACGCCCAGTCAATTATTTTGTATTTTTGGTAGAGATGGGGTTTCACTGTGTTAGCCAGTATGGTCTCGATCTCCTGACCTTGTGACCCACCTGCCTTGGCCTCCCAAAGTGCTGGGATTACAGGTGTGAGAAACCACATCCGGCCCTCAAGTTATCCTTAAAACCTCTGCAGCCAGAATGTTTGGGGAGACTGATTTGAGAAATAATACAACTCAGGGCCAGGCGTGGGCAAGGTGAACCCCTTGGGTAGTTACAAGACACCTCATCTCTTCAAGCTTGTTTGCTTATCAATAAAACGGGCATGATCATGATGATGAGCTGTTGCTGTGAGAGTTAACTGAATATTAAATATGTGTTTCAGGCTGGGCGTGGTGACCAGGCGTGAAACCCCGTCTCTACTAAAAATATAAAAAATTAGCTGGGCATGGTGGCGGGCACCTGTAGTCCCAGCTACTCGGGAGGCTGAGGCAGGAGAATGGCATGAACCTGGGAGGCGGAGCTTGCAGTGAGCCAAGATCACACCACTGCACTCCAGCCTGGGCAACACAGTGAGACTCTGTCTCAAAAAAAAAAAAAAAAAAAAGTTTTAAATATGTGTTTCAGGCTCACAATAGTAGTTGCTCAGTTGCAATACTGTTTATTATTGTGTCTCCATGACTGATGGTGAGGATTCCTCCACACTGGTGGGAGTAGGTGGAGGTAACCTGTGCCCAGCTTGGGTGTTTCTGGGCTGAGCACGTGCCTCTGGCTGGCTTCGGCCCCTTGGGACGCTCCTCTCTTGTCCTCTGCCCTCTTGCTCCCACTTTTCCTACCTCCCCTTCTATCCAGTCCCAGCAGAAGGGAGATTCTCAGAAAGAGATGCCTGGGGAAAAGAAAGCCAGGAAGCGAGGGGGAAGAGGGTGGAGGCAATTTTGTCCCCACAAGCCCGGCTGGCTCCTTGCAACCACAGGGTTTTGTGAGCTCCTCCCTGGCCTTCCCTTGCTTCCTGTTTCCTGGATTTTGTTCTGAGAAACTTTGCAATTCCCCCACCCCTTCCTTCTCCCACGCACACCACAACCTTGTCCTCCTCCCTGTAGACCTCCCCTCTTTTTTCTCCCAGGCCTCTCTCGGCTCTCCCTACACATACACATACACACACACACACACACAGCCTGGCTGGCAGCCCTCCTCACCGATTTCTTATCACCTTTCCACCAGCCCGAGTAGACTCTTCTGCATTTTCCTGTCTGTTGATCAGGAAGGCTGAGGGTGCCATAGCCGTCGCGCTTCCCAAACTTCCAGTCCCCTTCATAGATGGCTCCGTTCTTCTTCCAGACCTGTGTTCCTTTCCCTGGTGACACACAGATGGGCAATGCTGCAGACGTGGCCGCCAGGGGTGGGGGTGGTGTGCCTGCCTGAGCCTCAGGGGTCCCCGACTGGATGAATCTTGAGAGCTGGGACAGGCTCTACGCATCATCCTAGACACCCAGTACCCAGGAGAAGGCCAAGAAAGTTCCATTTTTTTTTTTTTTTTTGAGACAGCATCTCTCTCTGTCACCTAGGCTGGAGTGCAGTGGCACCATCTCAGCTCACTAAAACCTCTGCCTCCCAGGTTCAAGAGATACTCCTGACTCAGCATTCAAAGCGGCTAGGACTATAGGCGCGAGCCAACATACCTAGCTAATTTTGTGTTTTAGTAAAGATGGGGTTCCATGTTGGCCAGGCAGGTCTCAAACTCCTGACTTCAAGTGACACGTCCACCTTGGCCTCCCAAAGTTCTGGGATTACAGGCATGAGTCACTGCATCAGGCCAGAGGTAATTCTCTTTGTTTATTGATTAGTGTCGCATGTCTGTCTTTTCCAGGAGAATGTGAGCTGCAGGAGGGCACAGACTTTGGTCTGTTTCGTTCACTGCACTGAAAACCTGTGCCTGGAGACTGGGCGCAGTGGCTAATGCCCGTAATCCCAGCGTTTTGGGAGGCTGAGGTGGGTGGATCACCTGAGGTCAGGAGTTCGAGACCAGCCTGGCCAATATGGTGAAACCCTGTGTCTACCAAAAATATAAAAATTAGCTGGGCATGGTGGCAGGCATCTGAAATCCCAGCTACTCAGGAAGCTGAGGCATGAGAATCACTTGAAACTGGGAGGCGGAGGTTGCAGTGAGCCGAGATGGCGTCATTGTGCTCCAGCCTGGGAAACAAGAGCGAAACTCCATCTCAAAAAAAAAAAAACAAAAAAACAAAACTGTGCCTGGCATGTTCTTGCGGGAAATCAGGGATCCTGAACAGAGGGACCAGCTGAAACCATGGCAGAAGAATGTAAATTGTGAAGATTTCATGGATATTTATTAGTTCTCCAAATTAATACTTTTATAATTTCTTACACCTGTCATTACTGCAATCTCTGAACATAAATTGTGAAGATTTCATGGACACTTACCACTTCCCCAATCAATACCCTTGTGATTTCCTATGCCTGTCTTTAATCTCTTTTTTTTTTTTTTTTTTTTTTGAGACGGAGTCTCGCTCTGTCGCCCAGGCTGGAGTGCAGTGGCCGGATCTCAGCTCACTGCAAGCTCCACCTCCCGGGTTCACGCCATTCTCCTGCCTCAGCCCCCCGAGTAGCTGGGACTACAGGCGCCCGCCACCTCACCCAGCTAGTTTTTTGTATTTTTTTTAGTAGAGACGGGGTTTCACCATGTTAGCCAGGATGGTCTCAATCTTCTGACCTCGTGATCCACCCGCCTCGGCCTCCCAAAGTGCTGGGATTACAGGCTTGAGCCACCGCGCCCGGCCTTACTTTAATCTCTTAATCCCACCATCTTCGTAAACTGAGGAGGATGTATGTCGCCTCAGGACCATGTGATGATTGCATTAACTGCACAAATTGTTTGTAGAGCATGTGTGTTTGAACAATATGAAATCTGGGCACCTTGAAAAAAGAACAGGATAACAGCAATGTTCAGGGAACAAGGGAGATAACCTTAAACCTTAAACTCTGACTGCTGCTGAGCTGGGAAGAACAGAGCCATATTTCTCTTCTTTCAAAAGCAAATAGGAGAAATATCGCTGAATTCTTTTTCTCAGCAAGGAACATCCCTGAGAAAAAGAATGCGCCCCTGAGAGTAGGCCTCTAAATGACCCCTTTGGGGGCAGCTGTCTTTTACGGTCGAAGCTGAAGGGACGAAATAAGCCCCGGTCTTCTGTAGTGCTCCCAAGCTTATTAGGATGAGGAAATTCCCGCCTAATAAATTCTGGTCAGACAGATTGTCTGCTCTCAAACCCTGTCTCCTGATAAGATGTTATCAATGAAAATGCATGCCTGAAACTTCATTACCAATTTTAATTTCGCCCCATCCTGTGGTCCTGTGATCTCGCCCTGCCTCCATTTGCTTTGTGATATTTTATTACCTTGTGAAGCATGTGATCCCTGTGACCCACAACCTATTTGTACACTCCCTCCCCTTTTGAAAGTCGCTAATAAAAACTTGCTGGTTTTATGGCTCAGGAGCATCACGAAACCTGCCGACACGTGATGTCTCCCTCGGACACCCAGCTTTAAAATTTCTCTTTTTTGTACTCTTTCCCTTTATTTCACAGACCAGTTGACGCTTAGCGAAATGAAAAAGAACCCACGTTGAATATCGGGGCGGGGGGTTCCCCCGATAGCATGTTGTAGGTGACTAATACCTGTTAACTTTTTTTTTTTTTTTTTGAGATAGAGTCTTGCTCTGTCACCCAGGTTGAAGTGCAATGTTGTGATCTGAGCTCACTGCCACCTCCGCCTCCTGGGTTCAAGAGATTCTCCTGCCTCAGCCTCCCCAGTAGCTAGAATTACAGGCGCCTGCCACCATGCCCAGCTAATTTTTGTATTTTTAGTAGAGATGGGATTTTACCATATTGGCCAGGCTGGTCTCTAACTCCTGACATTGTGATCCACCTGCCTTGGCCTCCTGTAATGCTGGGATTACAGGCATAAGCCACCATGCCCAGACTTTTTTTTTTTTTTTTGAGACGGAGTTTTGCTCTCATTGCCCAGGCTGGAGTGCAATGGCTCGATCTTGGCTCACTGCAACCTCCACCTCTCAGGTACAAGCGATTCTTCTGCCTCAGCCCACCTAGTAGCTGGGATTACGGGAATGCACTATCACACCCGGCTGATTTTGTATTTTCAGTAGAGACAGGGTCTCTCCATGTTGGTCAGGCTGGTTTCAAACTCCCAACCTCAGATGATCCACCCGCCTCGGCCTCCCAAAGTGCTGGGATTACAGGCATGAGCCACTGCCCCGGCCTTTTTCTTTTTTGTTTTTAGACAGGAAAGGACTGGCTGTATTGCCTATGCTAACGTGCACAGCTCACTGCAGCCTCAACCACCCAGGCTCAAATGATCCTTCCACCTCAGCCTCTTGAGTACCTGAGACCACAGGTGCATGCCACTCTACCTGGCTAATTAAAAAAAAAAAAATTTGGCCGGGCGCGGTGGCTCAAGCCTGTAATCCCAGCACTTTGGGAGGCCGAGACAGGCGGATCACGAGGTCAGGAGATCGAGACCATCCTGGCTAACACAGTGAAACCCCGTCTCTACTAAAAAATACAAAAAACTACTGGGCGAGGTGGCGGGCGCCTGTAGTCCCAGCTACTCCGGAGGCTGAGGCAGGAGAATGGCGTAAATCCGGGAGGCGGAGCTTGCAGTGAGCTGAGATCTGGCCACTGCACTCCAGCCTGGGCCACAGAGCGAGACTCCGCCTCAAAAAAAAAAAAAAAATTTATAGAGGTTGAGTCTCTCTATATTGCCCAGGCTGGTGTCAAACTACTGAGCTAAAGCAATCCTCCTGCCTAGGCCTCCCAAAGTACTGGGATTACAGGTACAAGGCACCACACCAGGCATTTCTTTCTTTTAGAGATAGGGTCTTGCTATGTTGCCCAGGCGAGTCTTGAACTCTTGAGCTCAAGAGATTCTCCCTTCTCAGCCTCTTGAAGAGCTGGGAATACAAGCACACACCACTGCACCCAGCTTAATACATATTTAATGAAAGGATGAATAAAATATTTGTGGAGTACCTATATTGGCCAATTCAAGTCTGGGTCCTTGGTAACCCAGCAACAATTTCAACATTTTCCTTCTGAGCTTTGTGACCTTAACCAAGTAAGCTAATTCCTTGGGTCCCTCTGAGCCTCAGATACCTCTGCTGTAAAATGGGTGTAAGAATATCTTATGGGGGGGTTGGGTGCAGTGGCTCACACCTGTAATCTCAGCACTTTGGGAGGCTGAGGCTGGTGGATTGCCTGAGGTCAGGAGGTCGAGACCAGTCTGGCCAACACAGTGAAACCCCATCTCTACTGAAAATATAAAAAATTAGCTAGGTGTGGTGGTGGGTGCCTGTAATCTCAGCTACTTGTGAGGCTGAGGTGGGAGAACTGCTTGAACCTGGAAGGTGGAGGTTACAGTGAGCTGAGCCGAGATCACACCATTGCACTCCAGCCTGGGCAACAAGAGCGAGATTCTCTCTCTCAATCTCAAAAAAAAAAAAAAAAAATCTTATGGGGACTGGGAGCAGTGGCTCATGCCTGTAATCCCAGCACTTTGGGAGGCCGAGGCAGGCTGATCACTTGAGGTCAGGAGTTCGAGACCAGCCTGGCCAACATGGTGAAACCTGGTATCTACTAAAAATACAAAAATTAGCTGGGCGTGGTGGTGCACGCCTGTAATCCCAGCTGCTCTGGAGGCTGAGGCAGGAGAATCACTTGAATCTGGGAGGCGGAGTTTGCAGTGAACCGAGGTCGCGCCACTGCACTCCAGCTCAGGTGACAGAGTGAGACTCCAAGAAAGGAAGAAAGGGGGTGAGGGGGAGGGAGGGGGGAAGGAAGGAAGGGAAGGAAGGAAAGGGAGAAAGAAAGAAAGAAAACGTGCCATTTGTGACAACATGGATAAATCTGGAGGACATTATGCCAAGTGAAATTAAGCCAAGCACAGAAAGACAAATACTACATGATTTTACTTGTATGTGGAATCTAAAAAAGTCAAACTCATAGAAACAGTAAAATAGCAGTTACCAGGGGCTGGTGGGGTGGGGAAAATGTGGAGATGTTCTGTCAAAGGGTGCATACTTTTTGTTATAAGATGTACAAGATTTGGAGACCTAAGGCTGGGCATGGCGGCTCACCCCTGTAATCCCAGCAATTTGGGAGGCTGAAGCAGGTGAATCACTTGAGGCCAGAAGTTCGAGACTAGCTTAGGCAACATGGTTAAGCCCTGTCTCTACTAAATAGACACAAATTAGCCTGGTGTGGTGGTGCGTGCCTGTAATCTCAGCTACTCAGGAGGTTGAGGTAGGAGAATTGCTTGAACTTC